TGTTACAGGGGTTCTTGTCTTGTAACTTGTGGGATTTACTCAGGAAGAGCCGGTACTGGATCAAAATATATTTAATACTAAACTTGAAAAGATGTTGTATACACTGAGTTTAGCTACCAACTATCGAACGATAGCCAACTAAAGAACAACTAAAGATCAACTAACCTGTACAAAATGTCAATCTACCTATATAGTGAATGTTTTACAAGTCAGAGTGACAGCAAATTGGCAGGCTACATTGCAATACGATTGGATAAAGTATAAGCTTGACGTACTAAAGTTTGATTTACTAATAAGGTGTTCAGCCAAGGCTGAGAGCAAAAAGGCTATGCCCCGACATACTTTTAAGTTAAATTTAAAGATGAAACTAAGACAGAAGATAGCTCTAACAGAGAACTAACTTTCTATCAAGTTATATTATAAAGATACACAAAATGAACGATGCTACAAGGCTCCAAACCAACGAAGGGCGTTTTGGGGTACGCATTGAGGTATAGGGTTACAAGGGTGGAGTCTATCCGAAATTGGTGTAATATTGCAGTGCTATAAGACACGTGGGGATATCCTAGATGAACATGTGGAAACTGAAACAAGGTGCCTTGTAGTCTCGTTATACTGTCAAACCTATAGTTCTTATCTGACAGCTTAATGGAATATTCGAAATTAAAGAGAGGGATTAAATGGAAGTGACAACTAAAGAGTCACAAGCTGTAACTAGACTTAGGCTTAGTTAGGGACACAACGCTAAGCAAGACAGTGTAGAAAACATATAAAAATAGTAACCTAAGTTATGTTCGAGATAAATGTATTGGAATACTAGTAAACGTTAAACAGCTAAACGAAACGATGTGTACAAAACAGATGTCATATTTTATATCTAATCAAGATTATGTCAAAATAAATATAAGTTCTATTACCACAAGAACGCAGGTGTGAAACATAATGATAACCTAGGGAGTAGCTTACTAGAAAACGTTCATGAATATTAATTTACTAATTTTGTCTTATAACAAATCCTCGTAGTGTGGTCGGTTCGTATTCCTCGCCGTTTTTCTTTCTGACAGATAAAAAGAATCTGGACAAAAACAAGTCGAGCTCTCGAGGAGGAATTTCTTCAATCGTTCGAGTCTCCTTCTCAGCCGTAAGAAATAACTGAATGAGCGACAGGTCGTTCTTCGTCTTTCTTTTGGTGTTTACATTTTCCTCCTGCTCGATAAACTCTTCCACGTCTTCTAGATTAAATGTGACAAACTTTTCTGCCATTTTTTGAAGGTTTTTTTGAAGAAAGATGTAGAAAATTCCAGTGAACAAGCTACCAAGGCAAAGGCAAAGCTGCCGATGTGATTTTCGCGCCTGAGGAAAATGACGTCATAGAATGCGAAAATCTGATTGGTTTATAATTTCACATGTGAAAAATATCGCATCTTTACGTGTGCTGAAATACGAAATTTCTCAGTTGCGGAAATCCTTTTAAAACACTATAGTTTATATAATAATTTAATTTATTCTATTCGTTTTTGCATGTTTGAATATTTTTCAATATTTAAAACTTCATTTGAATAATGAATATTTGAATTCAAGAATCAAATCAATAATGCAATATTGAACTCATTAATGATCACTAGGTGTTCATGCTTCAGGTAGTTTGACTGTAAATTGCAGGTTATATTTTGCAATAATTAAAAGGAACCTCTAACACTCTTTTAAGTGTTAAAACACTCTTATTAAACCATTGCGTTCAAGTTTCCATAAAAAGGGTTGTTCTTACAGCCGTTACGGATAACACGTAGGGAGTCGAACGAAAAATGCTACTGGATTCGGCATTTTATAGATGTCAATCATAGACATTTCCATGACTACCATTGGATAGCTCCTTCCCCAACATGAATTGGTTTGAATGGTCAAAGCGTTTTCAAATTCTTTGCGTTGAAGAGTGATAATTCTTCAAACGGAGTGGGCTAAGTATTTCAGACATTTTGTAGTACTTTGTGTGTTAATAGTGAAGCATTTAATACACACTTGATGTCAGTGATCCACCTAGAAGAAAGTCAAAACATCGGCGGTCATTGACAGGTAATATTATTCGTATTTCATCATTTTATATCCTTTCGGGCAGTAATTGAATGCTCTAAATCGATTCATGTTGGTATTTCTTGCATATAGCCGCAGATATCCTGATTATTAGACGTTTAATAGCACAACTTCCCGAGCTGTTCTCTGACATCAAGTGTATTTGTGTAAAGTCTGTATTTTCGAAACGAATGCTTCACTAACGCACAAGGAAACGCTTTGACCATGTTGACCATTCTTGGCTAGTTTTGTCGATATTCGAGGAAACCAATTCATGTTGGGGGAGGAGCTATCCAATGGTAGCCATGGAAATGTTTATGATTGACATCTGTAAATTGCATGAATCCAGTAGGATTTTTCGTTCGACTCCCTACGTGTTATCCGTAACGGCTGTAATATTTGTACATTATGCTAAAGTGCAATAACACTTTTTCAACAATATGTATTTTTTTTTGCTCTATACTGGACGGGCTTATCATCATTGATAATTCAGTAATGTGTTTTTTTATGTAAAAAATCGCTTTTGGGAGTAACAACATGCGCTCTTTGAGCGCCTTTAATTTTTTCTCTCACAGGAAGGTAAAGGAATTGTTCGACTATTTTAATGTACATAAAGTATATCGAGGAGTTCGTGTCGTGTCATCATCTTCCTTCCAGAGAAAACGTTCATATGCTGTGCCACATCTTTCTTTTTTGCGACAAAGTCCTTATGGAACCTCTCGTCCCTGTTTCATCATGTATGAAAGACGAGTGATCACTTGTAGCAGGCGTTCCTTGCGAACACAATTACATGTACTTCCTGATTCTTTTCGGCAAAAATAGAAAGTTTTCGGATCTGGCACTTCATTCCTTCGATTTTTGGACATCATAAGGAAGACTTACGTTCTAATTCACTTCGTTCAAACGAACGTAAAATATTTTTCTTCTATATTACGAATATAGTAATGACAACAACGTTGTTGTATATGGTAGGTTCGCTTGCGGACCATTATTTATTGGTAATAACATGTATCGTGATATGACTCATA